AGAGGGGTGGGACTCACTTATCCAGCTTGTGGATTTGTTCCTCGTTGTAGCCCAGCCCTGGGGAGGAGAGACACGGTCACCACACAATAAGTTATAAATTTATGTAATTTATAAATTTATAAATTTTGATTATAAATATATATAATATATTAATGTATATTTATATATTTAATAAATATTTATATATTTGTTATATTTTATTTTTATATTATGTATTTATGTATATTTATATATTTATATATATTTATATATATTTTTATATATATTTATATATTTATATATATTTATATTTATTTATTTATATATTTATATATATTTAAATTTATATATTTATTTACATATATTTATATTTATTTATATTTATTTATATATATCTATATATATTATATATAAAATATATATTTATATAATTATAATTTATATTTATATATTATATATAATATAATATATAATAATATAATTTATATTTATATATTATATATAATATAATATATAATAATAGAATAGAATATATAATAATAGAATAGAATAGATTATAATATAATACAAGTGTAATAGAAGTATAATAGAAGTATAATAGAAGTATAATAGAATAGAATATATAATATATATATTTATATATTAATATATTTAAATATATATATTTATATATATTTATGTAAAATATATTTCAGTATATACACACATATATACATATATAAATATATGTAATATATTTATAATAATAATTATATATAAATATATGTATTTCTGTAGATATATTTATATATTTATAATTTATATAAATACATATAAATACATATGTGAAATGAATTTCACAGCCCAATAACTGGGTGATTTCACAACACCCTGAGGCTGCTGAAGGGGATTTTCCTGGCCCCTGGGGCTGCTCTCAGGACACAGAACAGATGCTCCATGAGGTCCCTCTGTGATTTGGGAATTCCATGAAATAATTGCCAATCCCAGCAAACCAAAGCCATCGGTTTTGGGACTGGGACATTCCTGCCCCATCACTCACTCAGACACGTCCTGGCCTTCTTGAACTGCTTGTAGATCCCCTGCATCTTCTCCAGGCAGCACTCCATCTGCTGGATGCTGCCAGGGAGAGAGGGAAAGATTTGAAAATCATGGAAAATTCGGGGAGTTAGAAAGAAAGTCAGGCTTGGTAAGCTCTGGGAAAAACCTGTTAAAGGTAAAATGGGAAATGTTCGGCCTTGTGCTTGCTAAGATGATGTGAAACTGCAGCTGTGTAGCCAGTATGTGATAAATGATTGAATTGTTAGATGGGATTAGATATAATTATTGTTTAAAGAATCATGAGAAACTATGTTAGGGGTTTGGGGGGGATCATGAGAAATCCATGCTTGGGTAAAATCAATGTATACAATAGAACAATGTAAGTTTAATAATTAATAATAAGTTATATAATGATAGAGTAATAAAATATGTTCAGCTCAAAACCAAGTGGGGTCAGATTTGTGTCTGTGCACCCCTGACACCCAGAGCTCTTTAATAAAGCACCTTCATACAATAATTCTGTGATTTTGTGCTCCTGAAGGCTAACGAGGGGAGCGGGAAGGAGGGGTGAGTTCCCTGGGCAGGGAGGGCTGAGATCACTTTGGGGTGAAATGATCACTTTGGGGTGAAATGATCACTTTGGGGTGTGCTGTGACCCTGCTGCCCCCCAGCACCCCCCGAGCATGGGGTGGCAGCGGGGCTGTGCCTGGCAGGGGAGCTGCTCCAGCAGGGTGGGGACAGGGATTCCATCACCAACCTCTTGTCCTCGTGCACTTGCTGCCTGTCCTTCACCAGCTCGGCCAAAATCCCATCCAGGGCCCCCTGGAAGTCAAAGATGCTGTGGGAGCACTGGGAGAGCTCCTGGTCCACCTGCAGAGGAGGGGAGAGGTTGGGACCAGCTCTGCAAGGGCTGAGGGCTCCTCGGGCTGGGGATGCTCCTCACCCTCTGCAGCCTTGTGTCCACCACATCCACCCCAGCTGGGTCCCTGCTGCCCCCAGGAACAGCCTGGAACCTGAGCAGAGATAAAAAATGAATATTCCTGAAGGAGGGAACAATCCAGAGGCAGCTCCCACTGGGGCAGAGGAATCCATCTGGTGCTGGGCTCCTGTGGGGCTGCAAAGTGATTTCTTGGGCAGCCACGCGGATTTCAGAGCGCCACATCTGAGCCGTGAGACACAAAGTGCTGATCTGCTACAGACTCGCCCCGTTGTGCCCAATTTGTTCCAAAATCGCTGGTTTTACACCCACTGGCCTCAGGATGATGGGATGGAGTGTGTGTGTGTGTCCCTGCAGCTGGCTCGGGGCTGAGGCAGCAGAAATATTCCTGATGTGAATGTTGGGATGAGCTGGGGCATCCAGCTGCTCCTGGCACTCCACGGCAACCGCGTGGCCCTGGCTGCTTTTGCTGCTTTTTTGGGATGAAATGGAAATGAAGAGATTTTGTTAAATGGCAAAGAATGAAAGAACAGCGACCCAGCGGCAAAGAATGTTCCACTACAACAGCAACGGCAACAAAAAAGCAGCAGAAAAGCAAAATATCCGTGGGTTGCTTGAGATAAAATGGGATCAGCTCGGCCCAGGGCAGCTGGGTGGGAAGGAGGGTGTGGGGAAGGGGAAGCTTGAGCTCGGCCCAGGGCAGCTGGGTGGGAAGGAGGGTGTGGGGAAGGGGAAGCTTGAAGGCAGCCCAGGGTTTCTCCTATATTTTATATTTCTATTTTATAATTTATATTTTATATTTTATATTTCTATTTTATAATTTATATTTTACATTTTATATTTCTATTTTATAATTTATAGTTTATAATTTATATTTATATTTTATATTTTATATTTTATATTTATATTTTATTTTATATTTTATATTTTATATTTTATATTTTACATTTATATTTTATATTTTATACTTTATATTTTATATTTACATTGTATATTCATATTTTATATTTTACATTTTATATTTTATAATTTATATTTCATATTTATAATTTATATTTACATTTTATATCTTTATTGTATATTTATTTTATATTTATATTTATATTTTATATTTTATTATTATAATTTGTTTTATACTCATTTTATATTTATATTTTATATTTATAATTTATGTTTTATATTTCTAATTTATATTTTATATTTATATTTTATATTTATAATTTATGTTTTATATTTCTAATTTATATTTTATAGTATATAATATAATTTATAATATATTAATACTATGTATTATCATTATAATATAAATTATTATGTTTTATAATGTTATTATATAATTATATGATTATAATACATTATATTATATGATCATATTAATTATAAAATTATATATAATTAATGTATATTATATAATATATTATATACTATATTATTTACACAAAGATCTATAATATATATTTTATATTATATATAATTTTAATTATATAATACATATTTATAAAATTTATAATTTAAGTTTATATTAGAATATATCAATATTATATAAATTATTGTATTATGTATTATATAATTATATTATTATAATAAATACATTATAATATATAATATATAATATACTTTATAATATATATTTATATTTATAATATGTAATATAATTGTATAAGTTATATAATTATATATCATATAACAATATCATATATAATTATATTATTATAATAAATACATTATATTATATTATCATATCATATCACAAAATTATATATAAATATTTAATATATAATACATTAATATATAAATGTATATTATATAATATATATTACATACTATATTATATACACAAATAAATCTATAATATATATTTTATATTATATATAATTTCATTTATATAATACATATATAAAATTTATAATTTATATTTATATTTTATATATGTATAAATATATATATATAAATTTATTATATATAAATATAATATATAAATATATATATATAAATAAAAATATATATATTTATATATATTATATAAATATAATATTAATATAAATATATTATATTAATTAAATATATATAAATATAATATAAATATATATTATATATATTATATATATTATATATATTATATATATATTTATATATATTTATATATATAAATTTATATATTATAAATTTATATATATATATATATATATATCTGCTATAATTCAGAGGAGAATTCAGAGGGTGGTGGGAGTGGGATGGAGCCCTGGGAACGCTCAGCTCTGCAGGGCTGTTGGTGACAGGGGCCAGACCCCCTTGGGGTCCTGGAGCTGGTGCCACCCTGCTCTTTATTTAATCCCACTCAGTTTTCCTTTCCCTGGAGCTCTGGCTCCTTCCTGCTCGGGAGAAACAGTCAGAAAACACCAGAGCTTCAGGAATAACCCTGGGCTCCTGTGAAACCAGGACTGATCATCAAAAACTGCAGCGAAGAGCGAGAAAAATCCAGAGTGGCTCCTTTCCCATGCAGTGAAATGTGAAATCCTCTCTCCCAGCTATCAGCTCATTCCTGGCATTTCCTTGCTCCTGATTATCATCCAGGCACCCTGGAGAGCCCCATCTCCCGTCAGCCACAGCCCAGAGCCCGCCAGGCTCACTCACAGCGCCAGTGTCTTCCCCTGGGTGAGCTGCAGGCAGGCCAGCACGGACTGAGCCCCTCTCCTCTGCTCCAAAATCCTGCAGCACTCCGTCCTCAGGTTCCCTCTGCCAAGAGAGAGAACCGACAAGAGCTCCTGGAATGACGGCTCCATCCCAGGGCAGCTGCGTGGGAAGGGGTGGGGATGGAGCTGCTGCCTTCTCTCAGGCTGCTGGTGAGACTGGGGGGGCTGGATGGACCTAAAACTGCTGCTTTTGGGGTGTCTCGCCCTCTGCTCACTGTCCTGCCCCAAAAGGAGTGGGTAGGGCAGTGAAATCCAGCATGGAATCGTGGAATGGTTTGGGTGAGAAGGGCAGTGAAATCCAGCATGGAATCATGGAATGGTTTGGGTGGGAAGGGCAGTGAAATCCAGCATGGAATTATGGAATGGTTTGGGTGGGAAGGGCAGTGAAATCCAGCATGGAATTATGGAATGGTTTGGGTGAGAAGGGCAGTGAAATCCAGCATGGAATTATGGAATGGTTTGGGTGGGAAGGGACATTAAAGCTCATCTCACTGGGCAGGAAGACTTCTGATAGATGCACACAGTGATGATGATGATGATAATAATAGTAATAATAATAAATAATAAGAATTCTGCTCTTTTCCTCAGCTTCTCTTAAACTGAAAAAGTGACCCAAAAGGAACAAGAGGACAGGAGCATCCTCACAACACCGAGGAGTTTTTCCCTGTGGGGACACACTGCCCCTCCATCCCCCTGGTCCCTCCCAAGCTGGAACACCCTTAAGGGCACCCCCATCCCCCTGGGCAGGGTGGTGTCCCCATGTCCCCTGCCCCAGCAGTGGCCCTGGCACTCACATCACCCACTGGAGACCCCTGGCCAGCAGCTCCCGGCCCCTCCGCAGCGCCTGCCCCACGCGCAGGGTCTGGTGAGCGGCACCCACGGCGCTCTGCAAGGCAAAGGGCACGGCCAGAGCCCGTGCCAGGCACTGGGCACCGCCAGCACCCTGCCAGGGGCTGCCCCTGGCCCCCACACCCACCTTGGCTGCGCTGCAGTCGGCCACCACGTCCACCCTGGGCACCAGCTTGGGGAAGTCCAGCGCCGCTGGAAAGACAGGCAGGCTCGGGGTGTTTTGTCTGTGGGCAGCTCCCACCCGCCAGATAAAGCCTGTGGGCACTCAGGGATTCAGCCTCAGCCCTGGAGGCTCAGTGCAGCCCCCCGAGGTGTTTTGGGAGCATGGAAGGAAGCAGGAATTCCCTGCAGAGCCCAGGGTGGCGCGTGGCCGTGGAGCAGCAGCATGTGGCAGGGGAAAACTGAGCCTGAAATGTCCTAATCCACCTCCTGCCCTGCTCCAGGGAGCAGAAACAGGGCTGGGAGCTGCCACTGGGAACTGGCACTGGGAACTGGCATCAGGACTGGGAACTGGCACTGGGAACTGGCATCAGGACTGGGAACTGGCACTGGGAACCAGTACTCCTGCTGCTGGAACTGGGGTCACTACTGGGAACAGGGACTGGCACAGCCTGGCAGCGGGAAAAGCAACTGGGTGAACTGGGATGCAGGTCAAACCCTGCCCAGACACCAGGATCATGCAGGAAATGGGCCCATCAGCCAGCTGGGAAATGGGAAATCTCTGAGGATAATGACTGGAACAAATCCCTGTTCCCACAGCCGCTCTCCTGCCGTGACACATCTCCAAGCACCCGCACTCACGGTCTCTGTAGCGCACCCCCAGCACGTCCTCGGGCTGCTCAGAGGTGCTCAGCAAGGTCAGGGGGCTGCTCTCTGTGGTTCTGCAGAAATTATGAGCTTGTAGATTGGGATCCAGCTCATACAGGTGTCCTTCAAAAAAATATTCCTGGTGGTGAGGGGCTATATTTGTCTGTTTGAAGACGGCGTCTAAAAACTTGGCGGTACTGAAATGGAGAAAGGAGTGAAAGGATGGGGATAAGCAATGAGATGAGCACGCAGATTTTCATTCCTTTAGCAGCCTGATGCCCTCAAAATATAAAAAATTTGATATTTTCTTAGCAAAATGTCAGACAAGGTCAGCAGAGCCCCCAGGACACGCCCTGGAGCTCTCTGGGTGCCCTCAGCTCCCTTAGTGCACTCCCAGCAAAGGCTGATTTGAGCCTGGTGTGTTTAAACCTGGTTTGGGAGCAGTGCAAAGGGGAGCAGAGCCCCGAGGTTCCCCTGTTAAAGTGAGGGGCTGGTGCTGCTGAGCTCCATTCCCAAATTCACCTCCAGCCCAGCCTTACGTGTTGTAGGAGTGGATGTAGATGCGGTGGGAGGATGCCTGCTGCAGGGAGAACACGTCCACCACGATCCTGTGCAAAATGTCGTTGGTTCCTGCAAAAAACTGGTCGAACCCCCAGCATTTCTCCTGATCCACCTCCAGGATGTTTGCCAAGACGGGGATCAGCTGGTCCTTCAGCCCCCTGCAGCAGCAAGGGAAGAAGAGAGGTTTGTGTGGACTGGTGTAACCCCGAGTCACAAACGCTGCCCTGCACCCCCTTTTTCTGTCTGGAAAGCAAAGATCTGGTGTGAAAGCTGCGACAGCTGAAGATGAACAGTTTATCTGCCCTGCTAACCCCCCTGTGCAGTGTGAGGACACGGGAGCTGCAGCCCCAGCGAGGGACACTCACGTGGAGAGGCGGCAGGTGATGGGCAGCTCGTAGCTCCACTCGATGTTCCCGTTCTCCTGCCTCTGGATCCCTGCAATGGCCCCAGGAGGCTTCTCCGTGGTGATTTTGTACCTGTGGGAAGGGCATTGCTGGCTCTGACCCGAGCCAAGCGAGCTCTGGGCACTGCCTCCCTCGGGTGGAGGGGAAGGGCAGAGCGTGGACGTGCTGGGAAAGATTCACTGAGGGAAAATAAAGTGCCCAGAGGGAAAATACTGCAAGGAACAGTCAAAAACCTTCCTAGGGAGCATTAACCCTGCCTCCCCTTGCAGCTGGTTAGCCAGGAGGTCATGGGAATGCATTTTATCCTAGGATTAGCTGGGTTGGAAGGGACTTTAAAGATCACCTGGTTCCAACCCCCTGCTATGGGCAGGGATGCCACCCATGCCCAGTGTCCCACCCAAGTGTCCCTTTTGGAGGGGAAGAGTGGCAGATGGGACACGGGTTCTTCCCCACACCCCACAGGCATTAACTCAGAGCTTTGAGTGAAAGCAGCACTGGGGCACCAGCAGCACAGCCCCAGCTCCCCAGGCACGGCACCTACATGATCTCCTTGTTCCTGCGGGGTCCCCCGAAGGGCACGAAGGGGAGGCTGCCGGTGGCAGCGTGGTAGAAGGTGACACCGATGCTCCACAGGTCCACGGTGACACCGAACGCCTTCTGCTGCGGCTTGCGCAGCACGGCTCGCTCGTACACATCGGGGTGCTGGGGGGAAGCACAGAGAAATGGGTCCTCCCCAAAATCATCTGTAACAGCTCTGGGTCCTCTCCAAAATCACCTCTAACAGCTCTGGGTCCTCCCCAAAAATCATCTGTAACAGCTCTGGGTCCTCCCCAAAATCATCTGTAACAGCTCTGGGTCCTCCCCAAAAACCATCTCCTGTAACAGCTCTGGGTCCTCCCCAAAAATCATCTGTAACAGCTCTGGGTCCTCCCCAAAAACCATCTCCTGTAACAGCTCTGGGTCCTCCCCAAAATCATCTGTAACAGCTCTGGGTCCTCCCAAAAATCACCTGTAACAGCTCTGGGTCCTCCCCAAAAATCATCACCTCTAACAGAGCACTCCAAAAACCATCCCCTCTGTCACAGCACTGAATCATCCCCAAAAACCAGAGCTCTGGGTCCTCCCAAAAATCATCTCCTGTAACAGCCCTGGGTTCTCCCCCAAACCATCCCCTGCCACAAATCACGGCGCCTCTCCCCTTCCAAAGTCCGGACCAGGCTCTCCCAGTGCTGCACTGGGATTGAGGGACAGGGACTGGGCTGCCCGGGGCCAGCAGCCTGGGACATGCCCTACTCACGAGGTACTCCTCTGTCCCATAGACAGACACGAACTTCTCGTCATCCTCCAGCTCCCGGGCGGCTCCGAAATCCGTCAGTTTGTAGATGCTCTGCCCGTCCTCCCCCACCAGCCGCATGATGTTGCCGGGTTTGATGTCTCTGTGGACGACGCCGTTCTCACGGAGGTGGTTCATCCCTGCCACTGTGGGGAAAGGTGTGTGGGGCTCGGCACCGGGCTCCAGAGGGGTCAGGTGGAGTTTAGGAATGAGGAAAGGGCTGGAGAGGGGGTAAATCCCGCAGTGGTGGTGCTCAGGTGGGGATTGGTGTGATGGAGAGGATGAGGATGTGGCAGGGTCCATCGCCACAGCAGCTTCCCAGAGCAAGGAGAAACCCTCAGCACGGAGTTCACCCTGCTCAGGGCTGCAGTTTCTGACCCCTCACCCCATGGCCCAGGGCTGCAGTTTCTGACCCCTCACCCCATGGCCCAGGGCTGGTGCCTGTGGGGTCCCACCAGCACCACGGGGTGCCCAGCTGGAGGGTCCCAGTGGTGCTGGCAGGGCCTGGGGGTCCCCCACACTCACCCACACACTGCAGCACGATGAGGAACTCGGACTCAGGCAGGCCAAAGGCATTGGCTGGATCCTCCAGCACGTTCAGCAGGCTGCCACTGGAGCAATATTCCATCACCAGCACCTTCTGCTTGCTGCTGCCCTGCGGTGGGAGACGCCAGGAGGGCTCAGCCCCTGTCCCTGCAGCTGGCCTGTCCCCCCAGCCAGGCAGAACCGGGCTGGGTTGGTCACCCCGAGGGTTTCCCAGGGGGTTCCCACTCACTGTCTCCTCCACGGCGAATAATTTGACAATGTTTTTGTGGTTCAGCTTCCGCAGCATCTCGAACTCTCTCATCTGGACCTCGTGGGGCCGCAGGTAGCTGGCATTGTTAAAGACCTTCACGGCAACCAGCTCCCCCGATTTCTGGGGAAAAAAAAGAGGGAAAAGAGACACGAGGAGATGTCACTGATGTGCAGAGCAGCTCCAGGAGCTGTGCCACGGCTCCCACACCCGGCTCGGGATGTAAATGATGCCTCCGTACCAGGACGGCACAAACAATCCGCTGTTATTCACCTCCCTGCTCCTCCTGTCCCTGCCCCCAGGGCTGAATTATCCTGCTGAATTATCTGTGTTTATCCGGCCCCACAGAAATCCCGTCCGGAGCCGGGGCTGGCAGCTCCCGAGGGATGGGGATGTTCCCAGCCCGCTCCCGCAGTTTGCTCAATAAACTTCAAAGGCTGCTGGGGAGCAGAGCCCCGCTCCAAGCCTGGCAAGTGTTTGCATGAACTATGCAAATGGCCAAGGATGGGGTTTTCATCCCCCGGGCATTCCCCGGAAAGCAGCTTCTTCCCCCTGCGCCGCTCGGGAACGCGGGGACCCGGCTGGGACAGCCCCAAAAGCCGCCCCGGAGCCGCGGAGCGGGGAAAGGAGCCCCGTGGAAAACGAAAATAAAACCCAGAGCAGCGCCTGAGCTGGTGCCAAGGCGAGGATCTCCCGGGAGGGC